GTTGGCGCAACAACGTGAGGCACAAAAGTGGTTTGTTGTGTTGTTGCCAAAGGTGCAAGACAAATTTAATACTGAGCAATAATGAGCATGAAGGTTCATTAGATTTGGGTTCTTTATTAGCTACTGTTTGAATCCATCCAAAAGCGATAGCTCAGAGGAACTCCATGTGGTGGGCTCATGGCTGTTTCCATAGCTGATATTGCAATCATTACCCTCATCAGACCTTCTTATGAATTTGTGAAACTGCGGAGGCCAAAGAGGGCAGTTCTCTGGAGGTGAAACCTGAGATTTTAATTGAGATCTAACTCTCGTATTCTCATTATCACCACTGCTACATACACAGCCACTTCCGTATGCATACATCCAAACACTACACACACACACACAGGGAACACATGTGCACACACTGGCGCAGGACTCTCTGTGGACCTTCAGGTACCGAATTAGTAGGCAAACCCTCAGATCTGCCTGCAGTGGAGAACACATGGCTTTTCCTTTGATCTGATCGTGTTTGGAACATTTCCATATACACAGAGATACTCTGCGAGATGAATATAGATGATACAATTGCAGCAACCTGAAAAACTGCAGTTTCTATCTATCTATCTATCTATCTATCTATCTATCTATCTATCTATCTATCTGTAATAAAGCCTATCTAAAGGACTCCCCCTTAGTAAAATAATTAAGATTTAATGCTTTAGGTACCAGTGTTAAGGCGGAGATGGATGGCACTTAATGGTAGTCTACAGAAGACTGCTGGTCAAAACATTATTCGTCACACCCAGCCTAAGAGCAAGAGAAAGCTATGAGGGCTTCTATCCTTGAGTTTTTACCATGGAAACAGTGTTTTTTTTCCTCCTCTATTCCTGATTCTTTATTATTCCATTGAGTAGTCTCTTTTCTTCTCATTGCTCTAAAGCTTTGCTGAAAGCCCACAACTATTTCAAGGTTGCTCTTTTGTGCTGCTGGCACAGTTGTTGGCCGGGTCTGTGATGGCTTGAGGATTAGACACAACAGAAATTCTCTAAACACTTCTTTGTTGGAATCTGTCACCCTATCTGCATCCATCTATTCATCTACTTTCAAAATCTATCACTATCTATGAATGTGTATTTATTTATTTTTTAACCAAACAGCCAAAAGTGCAAGCTCTCTGTCATCTCAGGCACAGCTTGCACGTAGTTCTTAGAATATGCCTCGTGTTAAAGGTGAAGTATTTCTAATGCTAGAGACTTTTTTTTTTTGTCACATTCAGTGATTATCTCCTCATGGTGTGCTAGCTGTCCGTTGTGTGTGTGCAAAGTCTGTTGTTTGTACACAGTCCTGGCTCTGTAATTGGGAAACAAAGTGGCTTGGACTGATTCCAGCATGTCCTGTACACATTTGTGCTTGTGCAGGTTTCTATAAACACACACACATATAAGAAAGATTCAACAGATAAAAGCAGATATGAAAATGTAATTATTATTAATATTATCAATATTATTTCTTTAAAACAAATCCTAATAATTTACTCTAAAATAAAAACTAAAATTCCAAAAAATAAATAAATAAATTAAAAAAATAAGTGGACTTGTGGATTTGTAATTAAGAAGAACAAAATATTAGAAAAACACAGAAATGCAGAAACTTTGAAAAAAAAAAAATCTTGGTAGTGCAATTAACAATTGTTGCAAAAACAACAAGGGGATTTTAAATGCTATGAAAAGGAATGAAGACAGGATTTAAAGAATATTAACACATGACAAAATAAACCTAAGGTTAAAATTCAATGAAATGGATAAAACACACAGCATGTGTTGAATTTACAGTGTAGTGGAAGGCATGAATGAAAAGTCTCAAATTTAGTTTAATAAGATTATACGTGTATATACACATATGTCCAATTAATGTTTTTTTTGTTGTTGTTTTTTTTTAAAGTTTCTTTTCTTACAAGAAAGCATTGCCATTGTGCTAATATTATCATCCCATAACTTTTTTTGTATTCTTTAGGCATTTGTATGGTTCCTCTGCAGTGATGCCACAAACCCTCTTTTACCTTCTTACGAGGCTGCTAATCTCAGGAAAATCCCATCATTGAACTGCACTTTTTAAACTCTCCCCTTGTGCAGAAAACATATCTGGAGGGCAGTGGTCGACGCTGACTGCATAATAAAGTGCTACCTCACTAAAGCACACACATTTACATAAAGATCGTATTAGCACAAACTTAATAACAAGGCGCAGCATGGTGGTTACTGTGGCTCACAGTATCTTTCACTGACATAAATGCTTCATGTATGTTCTTTATGTTCTTCTCCGTCTGTCACGCACATACAGCCCTGCCTGTCAGCAGCACGAGCCTCGTCTTTTACTGCAGACAGCTTTATGGTGTCTTTTGACAAAGTCCTACTCAGTGGCAGCAAGTTGTCAACAGATTAATTGCCCCAAATACATTATTACCGAAGATCATGTGCTTCCATCTGCTATTCAGGTGTCAAGCCTGAAAAAAAATCTAATATACCAATGAATAAGCCTTCGTTTAAGACAGATAATTAGCCAATATCATACTAGTCTGTGGGAGAGCAGAAGATAAATTTACAGCTTTGTGGTGGTGGTAGTTGTGGTCGGGGGCTCCTGAGACATCATTATCCTTTCAGTTTAAGACGTCTGAGGTAAGGAAGTAAACTCGTGAAAATTGGCTTGTCTTCTCCCACTCTCACAGAAGCTTGAGGGCCATAAAACCCTCTTTTATGATACAGCAAACATGTCTGCCATCAAGTTCCTTAAGTCTGCCATCTTGGATTTTTTTTCATTATTTTTGAGGAGTCTCCGAATTGAAAATTGAAGGAGAGCTTTAGCGTTTTTATTAAATGTGATTGCTGGGGCTGTCGTTCGTACTATGGGCTTGGCAGTGACAGTGAACGCGTTTCTTACATTTGCTTATCTGATTATTACTTGGACGGCTTTAGGGGTGTGGGAAGGAAGGGAAGAAGATGAAATGCGATTTGTGTGCCCCTCACATAGTTAAATATTACTTTATGCAGTATTGAAAGCCAGAGCTATGGTCTTTTTTACATTTTCTTTTTATTAAGAAAATCAGTTTGGTCAATCAGCATTTAGTCACAAAGAAAGTGGCATGTGGCCTTTGTGTGTCGTAGGTGTTGGGATAAAGCTGTGAAATGAACAAAGAGTTTGTCATTGAAATTGACAATTATAAGTAAATGTGTGTCTGTGTATCTATTCTGATGATATAAACATGCAGCCGGTTTATAAAATGTTACTTCGACTGACTTGAGGGCATTTTGTCAACTTCCAGCTAAGTGAACATTGTCTACAGTTCTCTTTCTCTCCCCTGAGAAGCTCCATCACAGATTTTTTTGGGCGAGCTGGCCATCTGGATGGAAGAAAACAAAAGACTAAACATCACCTCACTTTGAATGAGTGTCCATGACTCAACTCATTTTTATCTTCATGAAAGGAGAAATTCATGCGTTCCTGTGATGAATCTGTCCAGGTTGCAATTTCAGGTCACTTTTAATTTACAGCAACTATGGTGAGTTTACATTACTGATGCTAACAAGGTTGCTGACTATCTAACCACATTACTTCTAACATTAGCATCATGTCTCAATGGGGAAACACAAGGCTTCCAGGAGGAGGAAATTAATGATTAAAGCCATGTGCCACATAGATGATACTGGCTGTCATATACTACAGGCTTTCATCTTAGACGTGCATATGCATGCGAACCTGCTGTCGTTATGAGGTTGTGATTTCTTTGTGCTGTTGTCGGTTTTGAATTTTGCTCAAGTGGCACCGGCAAGACTGAGAACCACAGTATTATGAATAAAAAAATAAATAAAAACAAATAACAGACATCATCTTCATACAGGGAATGCAAAGATCTGAAGCAATTAAGTTCAGCCCTTTCATCTAATTTTCACATCAAACATCAGAAAACATGCAGTTTGTACTTTTCTGATGTGGTCTCAATGCATGATGGGACTGGTCTTGAAATGCTGGTGGGTTCTTCATCAAAACACTGCGCTCTGAAATATCCAAGATGTGGCCTAAGTTCAAAATATCTGATGAGAATATCAATGTAAATCAAACGAAGAAGATATGTTTGAAAAGATGCTTTTCTGTGAATTACAATATGGTACTGCAGGATGCCTTTCACTGTGGATTTAGACATCTCACAGTGAAAATTACTATTTCCGCACTGAATGCGTACCACAGTTGATTTCACTCTTTTCTGTCTCTCACATTAGCATTTATTTTTATTTTTTTGTGATGCAACCACATTGTTCCACAAGAAATAACAGAAATGACACAGAAAAGGAAGATTTCAATCCTAACCTTGGCTCGAGATCTTAAAAAAAAGACTTTTCTCCTGCTGTCTCTCTCATCTCCAAATATTTCTGTATAAAAAACACAGAGCACACTGGGGATGAAACTGCTTGCTCTCCTTTCAAAAGAAATTATTGATTGCATGCCTTTTTTTTTTTCTCCTCTCTGCTCCCCGCAGCTCCCTCCAGACTGATGACGATGATGAGGCGTCTAACAAGACGTGGGTGCTGACTCCCAAAGTGTACGAGAGCGACGTCACGCACATCTTAAACAGCCTACTAGATGGATACGACAACAAACTCAGGCCTGACATCGGAGGTGGGCACCGATTCTTTCACAGATGATCTGTTTAGTCACAGAAATATATACACAGCAGTGAGCCAAAACATTATGACTACTCACAGATGAGGAGAATAACATTGATTGTCTCATAACAATGGTACCTATCAGGGTCTGGGATATGTTAGACGGTGAGGGAGCAGTCGGCTGTCTTACTTAACATGTTGGATGTGGGAGAAACAGGCAGGTGTTAAGACCTGAGCTATTTTGATAAGGGCAAAACTGCTGAATACAGCAATGGCTCTCAAAATTACAACTAAGAAACACATTAGAGCCAGTGAATACTCTATTCTGAACTGACTCCTCTTTGGGAGACAATAACGAGCAGCAATTTGACAGATTGCATTTTAAGGCACTTGTGCACACAGAGAGGAGATACTTAGAGGACATACTATAACAACTACATCCACTGACTTATCTTTATATGCACATACTTAGCGGGACCATTTTAGAAAATACGTTTAAAAAAACACCAGTTTTTCAAGAGCTGATAACAGAGCTTTGTGTTTAGTTGATGACAATACTCTTTTGTCAGTGTTCTGGAGGATTTTTTGATTTTTTTTTCTTTTTAATCTGACCTTCATTCAACCAACTCATTGAGATTGAAATCTCGTTTCTATCTCTTTTAGGATAGTCTTGACCAAGATAGGCAGCCAGAATGATGATTGCAATCACAAAGAAGTCAGATGTGTTCCTTAACAGTTAAAGGGATGCAAGTCTGCAATTTCATTGAAAAAAAAGTCAAAATTACCATCACTGGAGTAGATTTGCATACAACAGTGTTCCAATGTGGAAACCAGAGGTGGAAATCAAGTCAAGTTTCATTCATGCAATTTGCTTGAAATCCTTCAATATTGCCCCCAAGTACAAACATATAGGAAAAAAATCTATTGAAGTCATTACTTTCCTGACAACAGGTTTTATATCAGTCAGTCACATTTGAAAAACAAACACTGGATTGCTAGGCTTCTCATTTCCTACTAGCAGACAGTGTTTTTTTGTCCACGTTAAACAACACATCTCCGCGGCAGATTATATCACCTTCAGCTAGTTAGCATTGATGCGGTTTGCTTCTTGCTGAAGGATCAGACTGAAACTTGGCTGTTGGGAGGTTAATGGGCTGATTCGGATCTGCTAAAATGCTACCAAACCCCAATGCAAATCAAAGGAATAACGTACAAACGCATACATTTTCAGGTGGCTTACTTTAATATGTGAAATAACTTATTTCAAGTGACAAATCCTTATTTTAAAAAGCTTATGCTATTTCCCTGAATCCACAGTAACTGTAAAAATTCTAAATTGGCATGGAACAGTTTAGTGCTTGGACTTGACATTTAACAGCTAAGATATAAGAGTTGTTTGTGATTTGTCTCACCTCTGGTGGTAGCTCATAATAATATCTGTCCTGCCACCTGACTCATGTTTGAATGTCTCTACTCCAAACTTTTTAATGACGAAAATGATGACAGTAAGTCAGCTGTAACTAGATGACATGGTCACAGTCTCTGCATTCAGGGTGAAGAAATACTTTTTAAAAAAGAGAAAAGGATATAAGCTTCACTGCATGCAGGCTTATAATAGTCTTATGATGAAGTATTTGTACCTGTATTTATGCACATGCATGTATTTTGGTCAGGGGAGCTGTCTGTCACGGTCCTGTAAACCTGCAGAAGAGTAGCTTGCTCCCTTCACTTTGACAGACAGCTGGCCAGCGCTGCCTTGTCTACATAAGCCTATCACATCAATCTGTAAGAGCAGAATAGGGAGATGCTCAGTACCCTTAAATATTTGATTCATGGGTCAGTATTTCTGGGAAACTGGCTAAAGTCAGTATCTGTCACACAGTGTCACATAATGATAAAGCTGCACCACTGTGTAGGCTAGCAGTGAATTGCTTGCCAACCCACTGTAGTACTCGTGCCTGTCATTTGGTGTAGCGGGGGTGGGCGATCTGGCCAAAGGACCATATTATGATCTTTTGGAGAGGACTCACAATTGATGATCTGAATCACAATTCTTCCCACAGATTTAGCTAAACTTGTCATGTGATTAGTTGTGCATATGATAGCCTGGATATAAAACCTGTCACTTTAACTTGAGGCCCAACTCACAGATCTCTGCATCCTGTTTTTTGCTCAGATTTTTTTTGTGAAAAGTTCTGACCAGAAGCGGTAATTTGTATCTGTGCTGCTTTGATGCATTTTTATGCTGCTGGTCATCTCGCCACAATTCCCCGTCTGCCACGCTGTATGCTGTTTACAAAATGAGTTATACCTCCAAGATACGTGGTGTGTCCAGTGAGCGTTGTCCTAATTGTGTCAGAACGAATGACACTTTTGCTTAGTTCATGAGGAATAGGGCATTTTGACAGCCCTGGTGTTTTATTTATTTGATGGTGTGAGCTGTGCAATTCCTTCGAAAAAGCAGATCATGTGCATGTCCAATTCAAATCATCTATTTTTTAAGATTGCCAGATGACCCGACACTTTACTGTAGGAGAGAGTGAGACACCACACTGTTTACAGGCATTGTCATTTTTAGCATCTGGCGGTAGCTAGCTAGCCAAGACTTGAAGACTATGGATTTACAAAGCCTTTTTCGAAAAGAAACAGGATGAAGGCAACGAGGCGCAGGCGAGGCTAGAGGAGGTGGATGTAGAGTTTTCTCCTGCTGCTGTAGCAGCAGATGAGTCAGAACGTGAGAATGCCATTGTCTCATCTACAAGATCAGGTTGGTGAAGAAGAGGAGTGTATCAGATAGACAGATAAGACACAGCATTAGCAGGTTTTCACAGTTCATATTTGTCACTGTTTAGCTTTGCCACACAACAGAAGCAAAAGCTATGAGACGAGTATTGGTCAGTTCTTTAAAGATAATCTAGAATATGACTGCTTCATTAATGTCAGGCTTATTTAGATTTTATGTTGTAAGAGCTAGTCGACACACCTGACCAGAAGCTGTTGGTAGAGCTCAGGCTCTCACATCTTACGTTCATTTTGCTTTGAAATAACTTGAAAAATGGTGCAATTATCGGGTGACAATCTGGATTTTTTGGGCGAGGCTAAGCCCTCAAAGATCTTAACAATGCCTCTGATGCTATTCCTCCCTAATTCCATCTCGTCCCTTGTGGGATCTCACAAAACCTTTGGCGACAAAAAGGACACAGTCCTTCACCGGCCTCCAAACTGAAAACATCGCCAAGTATACTGGCTGGGAGGTGCCACCACCACAAGCTAAGCTTTTAAACTTGACTAATGAATTGACTCAAATGGTGGCACAAGATAAAAGCGTCTGATGTATATAGCAAATCCATTACACAAGTCACGATTCATGGCTTTTCCATATACTGTACAATGAGCACTCTGCCGCATATGATGTGACACATTTCATGAAGGGCATCATCTTTATTCTTGGGACGTTAGAAGTGGGTCTGCGCGAGAAAATTGAAGAGCAGCTCAGATCTGCTTTGAGTTGCAGCTTTAGCCAAGGGAGCCGCTCCATAGCTGGGTGGCTGACTGCCACCGTCTTAACCATCATCTTCAAATGTGCTATGATCTCGCTCTCTCAGTGTTGGTCTCCCAGCTGCTACCAAGTTACACATCTACACAGGGGTTATAATTAGCTGGATATGCTGCCATGTAAGCCACCAACCAACCAACCATACCAAGGCAAAAATGAAGTTTCTCCTCCACTCCTCAGAGCGCTGAAATGCAGTGGATTTAGATTAATCGCTGATTGTGCCACAGCTTCCCTTTGAAGTGCATTGTGGGGCTCATTTAATTTTAATGGCCCTGGAGTCTAGCGTACATATAAAAACTGAAGCAAATTGGACAGAGAGAGACGCCGAAAAAATACGTCCACGGCATCGATCAAACTTTTTCTTTTAGTTTGAAAAATAAATACGTTCACAAATATGGAGAGCAACAGCAGTACATGCATGGTGATGATCAGAGTCTGTGAGCTAATTTGATCAGCCTTTTACCACAATGCCTGTAGTGGGTGTATTGGCATGTATTATGTTGTTTCAAACAGCAAGTTTGAAATTTCAGCGTAGTCACTTTATGTTCACTGGCATCTTGGAATAAGGTTTCTTTGGCACCTTGTTTTGTAATAATGAAAGAGATCTGCTTTCCAGCTGGCTGTATAAAATAAGAAAATTCAATTTGCTGTTATATTGTATTTATGCAAGACCCACAACTTGATGATTTCGCTTATAGTCTAGTCCAGGATTATATTTGTCATGCAAAGCATCGTCCTAAATAAATTCTAATAATGCTAACATATCTACCAGAATTATTTGTGGAGAACAATATGTGAGACTGAGTATAAACCTTTAGGAGTACTGGATCTGTGTGCGCCATCCATGCATGTGCGAATGGCGTCAAGAGAATGGGAGTGGAATGCACATTCATGTTTGCCTGTCAGTGACATGAAAAATGGATGCAAACCAGCACTCACTCCCTCAGTCTATCTCTCACACTCACTATAGCTCCCCACACCAAACCTTGGGGCCGGCTGAGTCTTAACCTGACTCTCTTCTCAGACGTAACGTCCAGTCATCCATAAACATTAGATAGCAAAGTGTAGAAGCTGATCCAGGCTAACTCAAGAAGCTCTGACAGAGCATGGATGTCCATTTGACACCAAGCTGTCGAATTTCCTCAGCCACGCTTTGTCTGATGCCTCCCTCTCTATCTCACTAAAGCAGCAAAGGCAGTAGACACCGAGTGGTGTATCGCACAGTGGTGGACAGATGGTGCCCAAGCAGGTGCACAAACAGACATCATTTATTTACATACATGAAAGCGTACAGTACATGCAATTAATTGTGTGTGTGCTAGTTTCCTTACAAAAAGGAATTATCCTCAATTAAAGATCTGACATTTAGTAGTTGCTCTGATGCTATGTGGCATATTTGTTTGTTGAAAATAGACCGCTTATCGAGGGGAGGACAATGAAAGGGGTAGATGGGATGTTGCAAAGGGCACAAAGACATTGTGGCAAATGGTCAGAAGTAGAGGTGGCATTGGCAGGAAACCCGTTTGGCAAGGAAGTTAGGCCTGCAGGCTCAGATGTAGTCTACGCAGTGATAAAGGCACATTTGACCCAAGGTTTCTATTTCAGTAGCCCTATCTGGTATGTCTTAGAACTGAAAAAATACAGATAATGTGTTATTGTGTTCAAAAATGTAAGGCAGAATCAAATGTGCGTGTTTGAATGGAGTAAATTGAAAGTCAAATTAGGAAAAAAGTAATTTACTTAATGTTTCCTTTAACAGCGATTGATTCTGCTTCTGCGCCGGAAGATTGAATTGCATTTTTTTTGTACTCACATGAAGGTTTCGAAAAAACAAAAACCCAATAATAGGAGACTTGTGTTGCTTTTTGTTAGGTCTTTCCTAATGGCCACCTTTTTTCTATTGTCTAAAAGAGGCTTTAAGATATGTTATTCATCTTTTTACTGACTGTTTTTGATTGATTGTTCCAGCCTATGACTCAAGTATAAAGATAATTTTGCAGCTCTGATACCTGCCAAACATCCATGGCAAAATTAGCATGTCCAGTGGACCTGTTTAAGAGCTGTGCATTTATCCACAGCAAGCTAACTGAACAGGGATATTTTCCATAAATGGTCACACACTCACTTACATTCACAACAGGGAGGTTATTGTCCTTCAACGATGACAACATACACAAAAACTAATAAACACATTCCGATAACTTCTTGTGCAAGTTCATGAAAGATTATTCCTCCTCTCTGAAATATATTTCCTTGTGTTTCTTTGCAGTCAAGCCGACAGTGATCCACACAGACATGTTTGTCAACAGCATCGGTCCTGTAAATGCCATCAATATGGTAAGTGAACATGATGGTTAATGTGTAAACATTTTAATAATAAGCAGACTGAAACAGAATGTTTAACAAAGAGGGAGAATATTTGTTTGCAAATTTGTACTTGTCTTGATCCAGAGAGTAGCTCTTTTCCAGGATTCATTGCCTTACTTAAGACAGCTATGGCAGATGCTTGATGTCGACTGGTTGTTTCACCCAATCACGACTCTGTTTCGCTACCCTTGTACTGTAGCAACACAATGCCATTGTCAGTCATCTTCTTAACAACTGCACTGGCCTTTGGATAAATGTGGTCCATTTAATTCACCTCATATTTTTGAATAGGAAATACTGACTAACAGGTAACCATGTTGTGTTTCAACACACAGGCCAGATTTCAAAGCAACATATTTGCAAATGGCTGCGTGCACTGGCAAATCCTAAGATCTTCTCACTTTGTACTTGCCAAGAATTGCATCAGCAACAATCTGAGGTGTCACCTGTTCCAGCTTTTTGTGGTTTGTTCAAATAAATATAACAATTTGAGATTTTTCTTGGGTCTGGTTTGAAGGCAAGATTTTTTGGGCTTTTGATCATCTGTCTGTCATTATGGTTGCAGTGAAACATCGTGCTGGTTAAACCACAGTACTGGCTGCTCTAAATGTATTTATTTTCACTAGCTGCAGTGCTGCTTTCTTCTATGAATGTTTCTTTAATGCAAGTTTGTTTTTCTTTCTGTTACCACTCTTCCAGTGATCTCTACAAGGCCCTTATATTTGTGTGGCACTGCAGTTGGTGGCAACATAGAATAAACAGAATAAAATCATGTTATTTTTTGTCATTTGCCAAGTCAAGTCAGTCCAACATTACACAACTGCACATTTCTGTTAGCCAATATGTGTGGGAGAGCTGTTTTTTTGTGTCATCTTCTAAAAATCCTGTCAGTATATTCCTATTAGCAAGTCACAATTTTAGAATTGAAAATGTTGGAAGTGCTAAATTTTGGCTGATTCATTTGGGAAGACCCTACTCCATGTTCTCAGTGCATCTGGTAATGTGAAGTTGTGAAATATACAGCTGTGGCGAGCAAAATAGGGTTGAACGGGTACTTGGGTCGTGCAGAGAAAACAGAAGGAGAAAGCGGAGGGAAGAATTAGAAAATGTGAGTCTCTTGCAGATTTAAAATCAGCACATTGTTTTGGTGTCATTGTCAGTGTTGCATGTCCTTGCTGAGAACCCACCTCTATTGTAATTCTGCAGAGCAGTCTGTTCTGCATGGTGATGGCGTTCCATTTCACTTAGTCTTAGCTAAAACACCCACTCTCAATAACTGCAGTCACAGTGATGCTGGGAGAGAAGCTTTGATGGAATCAGTTCGAAAAGCTGTGTTTGTGCTCACATTAGCGAGTCTGCGTGCATGCATGGCTGCGTGTGTGATGAGGGCATTCTGCTGACATGAAAGGTTGACTGATTGCCTCACATTCATATGTAATACGTGTGGTTGGGCCAGTGCATTCACACTCTGACATGACAAATGTGGCGAGGTTGGTAGTTTTTTTTTCTGGAGAGCAGAGAATAGACTGATGGTGCGGGGGCGTGCATCTTAGCATGAACACAATTTTGATTTCTTAATTATGCGTTGGAAATCTTTGAAATATGGCAAAGTTACAACTCGTGTGAGTGCGAAAGAGGGGGGAGGGATGGAACGGACTAACAGAGAGAAACAGGGTTAAGGTTTGAAGAAGAAAAGGAATTTGAAATTTATGCCTTGTAGCCATGAGAGCTGAGCAGTTTCTTAGCCGCTCTTAGATATGTGCAACAGTTTGAATCGGAAGAAGTGCAATTCTTCCTGGACTATATATAGGTTAACCCAAAAAAGTAGATGCTTATCCTTCTCAGCGGGGCTCAGATGAAAATCCTAAGGCATTCAACCTTTCTCTCATCATTGGATTTGAACTGTCTGCCTGTCCCTTGCGGGTCAGGGGGTGCTGAAAGGATGGGAATGTTGCCTGGTGAAAATGTTTTTCAAATCTCGTTTAGAACTCTTTGGCATGGATTTAGACTTTATTGTTGAGCTAAGCTTTGTCAGGAAGTTAATGCTTCTATGCCCTCTTGCACACAAATCCCCATTTTTTTTCTATCCTGCTGTACTTCACTTTGAACCTGAGGGCTCACCCAATCCAAATAACAAAATAAATAACACTGATAGCTCCCTCTCTTTCCGTGCCTCTCCCTTCCCTCTTACATTAGACCACATCTCACCTTTGCTCTTCAACTCTGCCCATTCCTCTATTGGCTGTGTTCCCCTCCTTCATATATATATGTTCTAACACAGTTTTCACAAGGCCTGAATAGGAGACGGAAGGTTTTGTCAAAGCTCAGGACAAAGTGCTGCCAAGGCAGCAGGTTATGAGGTTGGGTAATACTTCAGTCTAACAATGGGAGTTATTAATTGCCCCGTTGAACATTTAATTTTCAGGTTGAGGGCGTCAAGATGGTCTTTTTCAACGGTGCTCTTTAGTAGGGACAAAAGGACTTCCTGGCCTGAATTAGACACCATCTTGTCGAAAGAAAAGTGCTTACAAATGTGTTCCAGCATTAAGTTTCTGTCAAAAGTTCCCCTCAAGTGGAGAAACAGAGGAGTGCTTTCTGAGCTCACATTATTGACAGTGCTGAAAGGTTTTTGTTTTTTTTTCCTGACAGATATTTTAACTTGTGTGTGATGCAACATTTAACCTGAAGTAAACATGACTATACAGGTAAACCTGTGCTTTTGTCATCAGGAATACACCATCGACATCTTTTTCGCTCAGACCTGGTACGACAGAAGGTTAAAATTCAACAGTACAATGAAGGTCCTGCGTCTCAACAGCAACATGGTCGGCAAGATCTGGATCCCAGACACTTTCTTTCGCAACTCAAAGAAGGCCGACGCCCACTGGATTACCACACCCAATCGCATGCTGAGGATCTGGAATGATGGACGAATACTCTACACCCTAAGGTAAAATGGTGTCTGAGATGAGATATGAGTAATAGATCTTCTGCTTCACCTATTTTATCTGCAACTGACAGTTTGAATCAAGAGACAATTGAAGGTTTAGAATTGCTTGACTTACCAGTTATCCCGACCATTTTTCACAGTGAAAGATTACATTGTCAGTTATTATTGTGCGCTAATACTGTGCCTAAACTTGAAAGACAAGAAAAAGTGCTTTCTAATTACAGTTTAAAGCTAATGTGCACGACTTGCACGTATAAATTTACATCTGTGTCATTGCCAAAGTAGTTCATACAATGCAATTTCAGCTAATCGTAGCTAGGTAAATCTCTTTGTAGTTATTCAGTTTGGTTTCTGTGGTGACATTTTCCCGCTGGTTCATTATCAGTGAGGCTGATTATTAGATCAGACATTCTGCATTTTTCCAATTGACAATTTCATTATTTATTGCAATCCATTCCTTATAAAATTCATACATTTATAAGTGTGCTACTTTAGCTATGTCCCATCAATTGGAATTGGAATTAATCAAAATTCTGACTCCCTGATTTTGACTTTTACTGCAAATGTATATATTGGGTCCAAATATTGGTCATTGGACTCCTTGATTTCTAATAACAAGTATTGATATTGGCCCTGAAATATAAGTAGGAATGCATTTTACAGAAAGCTGCAGTGACTAGTTTGTAAGAGTTGAAGAGGAGAAAGATGGAGATGAAGAAAGCTACAGCAGCTCAGAATATGGTGGAGCCGTAGGCAGAAAAATCTACAAAGTATCCATGGAAAGTTGCTGATTCTCCACATAAACAGGAAACTCTGCCTTCAAAGGAGGATTTATGGTATATAAAAGAAAACGAATGAGGGTGAGGCATACATCACAACATGTCGACGGTGCCTGTTTATATTCTCACTGCCAAAAGAGGGAGTCAGAAGTTCCAAAATGTAGGTTTCAACAAAAAAAAAACGTCTTTTCCCTCCTGAAGGAGTGATCCCTAAGATAATGGGGAGTTCCAAATGTATGTACACAAATAATTAAATCCAGTATTGTCACAGAGAAACAAAGAGAAAATAATCAATAACAGTAAAAAGTGTATTGTACATCAACCTTAGTTAATTTCCAAGCTTGATTCTGGACTCACAACTGTAGCTTTTTATTTTTTAGCATTGTTTTATTTTTCTTTGTTTTCCCCCCATTTTTGTGTTTTAGGTTTGATATTTATTAAGATGGTAGAAATATGTCTTAGAGACTGAGGCAGAACGTTGTACATCACCCTTAGGTAACATTTTTGGGTGATGTATTGGTTTAAATGTATGGTTTTAAAGACAACACTTTTAATTTTCCCACAGTATTATTTTAGTATTAAACTTGAAATAATCAGTGTGGTAGGTGATAGCAAAGAAAACCGGCGTATACCTGCATCCTACATGTTGGATGTCAGACTGCTGGTTGCCTAGCGATAGGTTTGACTACATACCTGACAATAAACTGTTACTGAGCGCAATAACCTTGGAACCAACAAAAGCAACTATGTGACGTGTGTAAAACAGGTTTGTAGATTAAAGGGAAATATTAATTGTGCTTATTAGCATGTTTGCATGGCATCATAAATAAAGCAGACATTTGCACTGACACTGTAATATATCATTAGTGATAATAAGAGAGAAAGGGAAGTCTTCTGGACTCAATCAAGCTGTGATGGATGTTCTCCTATGCAGAACACTACCCCTCCACTTCATTAATTTGTTAAGGAACTCAGAACTTAACCATTGGTTAATTAGGATGACCGCTGTGATTCAGAGCACAGTGATACATGACAATAGCGAGTGCATGGATGGGTAAAGTCATTTAAGGTCATTCTCTCATTAAGAGGAAGTTTAATGACTTTGCCTTCAAACTCCCTCAAGTGTGAAAAAAAAGAGACAAGTGTGTTGCTGTGAAAAAACATCAATTTAGTTTTTTTTTTTTTTTTATTTAATGAATAATTCCTCGTCATTAATGATAAGGTTTAGTTGTTAATTACGAGTTTTTCAGCACACGGTATTTTCTGACAGACTGGTAAATATGTAACGTGTGTGTGTCTCTCTCTCTATATATATACAACTAATGCAAAAAAATTTGTCTCTGCAGGTTGACCATCGATGCCGAGTGCCAGCTTAAACTGAACAACTTTCCAATGGATGAGCACTCATGTCCCCTGGAGTTTTCAAGCTGTAAGTTTGGCCATACGCTGATATCGTACTGTTTGCTCCTCCCTGTCTTCCTCTGTCTCGTCGAAAATGCACACCCACATGGACCGTGGCCACAAACAAGCGACATATGAGCATCGTTTAAGGAATAATTATGCAACAGACCAATGAAAATGAATTCAAGCTGCAGCAGTTTTGTGATTTCTTTTAGAGACTTCTAGCCACTTGAAAAACAGTCAGATGAGTCATATGTGAATGTATGCACTGATGGCAATAGGCTTGCATGTGCAGTATACAGTATGTGGTATTGTGACTGGTTGAACAGAAAGGAGGTCTCACACTGGAGAAGCACAACACCTTAGAACAAAACATTAAAATCTAAGCTTAAAATTGTTGTATTTCATCAAAAACACTTTTATTCTACATGTCTCATTTAAAAACTGGCCAAAAATAAACTGTAATCAGATTCTGTGAAAAAATAAATAAATAAAAAAAATCTATGCTTCTTAGCACAACCGTGAAGTCATTAGTGACTCAGCTGTGACAGTCGCAGGGACTTTTTGGCTGAACTGGGCTGAACTGCAGGCTGTGTTTACACAGAGCAGTTAGGAGACGAGCACAAAAACAAATAAAAAATGGAAGTAGTAAAATATCTGGAGTATGTAGAGCCAATTTTTCCCCCAGTATTAGTAACACCTGTGGGCTCTTGGAAAAAAAACGTGTACGTACTCAATCCAGGGTTTTAAATTTTTGTAAATTATTTATCAAAGAAATCCAAGTTTCCTTATTTCACTTATTTTTAATGATTTATGTGTGCCATATTGCACAAAAACACATTTCTGAGTTCTTCTAGGCATGTTTGTGTTGTTTCCATTGACGTGCAGGATTCTATATTGCAGTGAAAAATGAACCCACAGTGAGTAACAATGTGACAGAAGCAAAAAAACATCCAGAAACTGCTTGGGGTTCAGGGGGTTGTACAATTCATTCATTCATTCACAGTACATGTTGGCATTCAGGAAAGGGATTGAATGATGGATTTCTCATTGCCAACTCGACCAAAGGCACTACAGAGTGATTTTCCTGTGCTTTGTCGATACTGTTCTACAAGACATTTCAAAAAGTGACACGAGTCCAAATGAGTCAGTCCCTCTATGTGAGGAGTGGATGGGGGATAAGTTATGCTAATGAGGCCGCTATGGATCTACAGAGAGATGCACCATGGGATATTCTCCAGAGAAAATGCTTCCTAAATAGCTACAGAGCACAAGAAAGAGAAACCGAGGGGGTAGCGGGCCTAAAAATGGAACAGAGGCATTCATTTAAATTTGATGAAAGCCATGGATGTTTTCAGAACTTTGAAAATTGCTTGATGTACAGTACATGAGCTCAATCTCAGAAGGAGCGGGCGGAGCAGTGTGCAGCAATTTATCACGTGGCATATTTTCCCAACACGTGCCGCAAAGCAACAAAGCATGGTAGATTTTCCAGTGAAGCCACTGCTGCAGTGGTTTTGAATACAATTAGATAAGATCTGAGCACATTATCTGGTTGGAGAATTTACAAAAAACACAAGATACTGTATATTATTTGCAATATTTCAAATTGCATTTTAGTATTTTAATTACAGCAGATTTTTTATTTTATTTTTTTTTTCAACAATGCTATTAGGTTCAAAGGGAATTTATGACATACAGCTGTAGTAGCATTGTTGTTCGAGCTTCCAAAAAGATGCTGAATCAATGATGTATCTTGGATGCATTACCAGCGAAGGAGCCTTTCATCCCCCAGCAGCTCCTTTGAGGTCGAGCATTACTGGATGTCTGAGAGCACTTTAGTCATAAAAATCATTTAAAGTTTGCACTGAGGAAAGTTTGTGTGCATTATTCAGGATACTTCCTCATCAGCTGCGAACAGCTCATCACTACGCTGAAGATCGCACTGGACTGAAATCTAAAGAGGACTTGCTGAAGTCAGATTTTGACACCTGTACTAAGAAACGTTTAGTCAAGTTGTTGCAATTAGCTTGAACGAGATTAGCTATGCCCTTTTTTTTTTCTCCTAAATGTGAATACCAGACAAACATTCAATACTCATAAACATGATTTGATTATGACAGTGCATCTGCTCGTCTAACTGAATCAGGTGTAGACACGTAAGATTACAATTGTGCAGCCGTAGCATGCGCTGGAGGAAATTAAATACTGAATTCCCACTCATTCGTGGACATGGATACATGGTGTAATTGTTGCTTTTAAGTCAGCTCAGTATTTCAGTGAGAAAGAAGTCTTCTCCTCACAGATGGACTGGATATTTCGTCAACATGTTGTGCAGGAATCTGTTACATAATGGTTCTTTCATGAAAAGGTTTATTTGCAAGCTAGCTGACTTTGTGGCTATGGATTATTCTAAAATAAAACAGACTGCTGTGTTTTTGTTTCATATTGAACAGTGTTGCACCATGTTGTTTTTCTTGTTCTTTTTTGTTTTAGCGAGCATATCTAAGCATTGGGGTCTTAAGATATTTCCTAAAAGGGATGTAAGTTATAGTCTTTGAAAAACATTGTGTTGTTTTTGGAGTGAGCTACACTCTTCTCTGAGTTTCAAACTAAGCTCTGTGACATTCCTACTGTTCTGTTGTCTTCAGATGGCTACCCCAGGGAGGAGATTGTGTACAAGTGGAAGAGGAGCTCAGTGGAGGTTGGGGACATTCGCTCCTGGAGGCTCTACCAGTTCTCCTTCGTGGGCCTGAGGAACACCTCTGAGATCGTCAGGACTGTCTCAGGTAAGAAAACTATCTATTCTCTAACAACAGAAAGATAGTCCTTTGTATTCAGTAACGGTTGGATGAATACATTTGCTTTTTGACATCCTGCATTTGACACTGGACAGCCATGATTTCTATAATGTGCTTGCTGCTGCAAAATAGGGATCCCTATTCCCGCTGCATCACACAGCTTCCATGTTGGGTATGATATATTTAACCTGAAGCAAAAGCCAGCACTAGGGGAATTTCATGCATAATTTTTTTTCAGATGCATCACAGTTATTATGAGGCCTAACCATACATGCAAATCAATTCAACATGTTCCTAAATTAAGGTAATTTCTGTCTCTGATTAAACTGCCACACCTCTTCCCAGCCTATGTATAACTACTCAGTGTATACTGATCTGGTTTGTATCTGTTGCTAAAAGTTACAACACAAGACTTCAGAGAAACAGAGACATGATCCATCATTTTTTTTATCCACTTTTAGCTTCCACTGCCTCAGGTGAAATCTATAAGCACTACCTATATCTCACTTCCCCCGCAGGAAAGAAGGATAGATTTTCATTAGAACTATTTTCTGGTAGAGTGGGATGGTGCATTAGAAAAAGCGATGGGTGTACTGAGGGAAATGGATTGGAACAGTGTTCCAAGATGGCATCCCATTCACGCCAATGAATATTGCCCACTCAAGTTATTTAGTCCTCTGCATTTTGACCAATGCAATATTCACAACGTCACTCTAATGCCATCTTGCTTGAACATATGAATTATAACAGTATAAGACTCTTGGCAGCTTTCATCATATTCATAATGTCCCAAGCAGTTACTTGGTTTGTTTTCTGGTTTTTTTTTTCTGCCACATTCTTGCTCACTGTGGGCTCATTTCTCACTGCAGTATAAAGCCTCTATGGAAACAGTACAACCATGGCTAGAAGTAGAGACTGATGCACTTTATGCAGTACAGCAGAGGTATACTGCCATAAATCACAACCCAAAAAAATTCTTTGAGTATTTATTTTTAAAATGAAAAAAAGTCTGGAATCAACGTGTACAACATTTTACCATGTGCCCACATACCTTACTACCACTGGAAATAGGTTACTCTACGTGCTATACATATTTTACTACGTACATTTTTCATTGCTTTCCATACTTGGCCCCTGTCTGCTCTGTGTAAACACAGCCTGCAGTTCAGCCCAATTCAGCCGTGACTGTTGGTTGCAGCTGAGTCAGTTCCAGCTTCACGGTCGTCACTGAATTTTTTAAAGTTTTGATGAAATGTCATGATTTTAAACTTAGATCTTAGAAGTTTTTCGAAAGAACAGCACGTCTCGTCACAGAGGATTTTGTGAGGGACTGCTATTTTTTTATTTTTATTTATTTTTTTTACAGTTTTTGACACGATAAATTGAATAATGTGGGCTGTTTTTTAAATACATCATGCCTTTCAAACCCACCAATGAAGGAAACTGTGCATTGTTGCAGTGTTTTTATGGTATGCTGGCTAGATTATGGGGGTTTACTGGAAGAACAACAGCTGTTTTCCCTTGACAGTGCTTATGTTTTAGAGAAGCACCACAACTGTGTTTGCATGTACATGCCTGTTATAAATGTGGTTGAGTAACGCATGGCAAGCGCTGCATGGAAATTTATGCACTCTTAACACTTGTTAGTAACATGAATCAGAATAAAAGGCAGCCAGAGAATAATTTTGGCCAGAGGAGAGTTCATTCTCATTAGATCAGCTCCATTATCCAGATGGACTGATAATTAAAATAAATGTATATTATGTATATGCAAGTCAAATATTCCCTTAAAAGCCCCTTTTATTAAAAAAACATCTGCCATATAACAGCATCAAGAAGCAGTCTTTTCTGTTTTTGCTTTCCCTCAGTGCCCATTTTCTAAGAGATTCAATTCATTCAAGTGTATCTGCACATCTATCAAATTTGTGTTATTATTCTTGCCACCATCTGCAGATTAGGATGTCTAGTCATTTGGCACACTACATCATTTTTAGGATAACAACGCTGGCAGTCTTGAAAGATGCAGGTAACAGGTCCAATAACTAAGTAAAATAACTATTGTACACAGTTAAAATGCCTTTAAAACCGAGTAAAATGTGCTATATCTAAATTGTTGATGTGAGTTTTTTAGTCTTGTAGTTCTATCGTGATTTATCTATGGACATGCACATTTAAATACAGCTAACTTTGAAGCAGTTTATCAAGCCAGATGGAAGCGTTATCGTGGAGGTTATATATTGTATTGTTTTTTTGGAGTGGTTTCTGGGGGTGTAAAAGCTATTTTTCCTGTTAGGTAATCTATTCGTCTCTTAATGTGACAGATTACTGAGAAAACGCCATGAACCGTCCGCTTTTACAGCTTTGTTTCTGGTCACATTTCAGCTGTGATTTAGTTATATGCAATAAAAAGAATTTACTGACCTTCTACAATGTAGTTTATTATGTTAAATATTTATGAGGCACATTTTTTAAATGACATCAGATACACAGAATCTGATTTCAGTCAGTGTGAAACACTCATTTTTCTGTCCAAGTTCTGTACGAAATACACAGAGACGTGCTTGTTTGCACTCCTACACAAAGTAGTCATAGGAGTAACTGAATTCACCGAGCCGTTCAGTAATTTGCCACAGTTCAACAGAGGGTCACGCAAAGAGCCAGAGAGAGTATTTTGGTGTGTATACAGCATGTCAGTTACAAGACCAAGTGCTTGAAATGCAGTAATGCAAATTGATTAAAAAAAGGTAAAAACTGCTTGCAATTTTTCTTTTTCCTGTTTTGATCAAAACATTTTTCAAGTGGCAACACGAAAAGGCTATCTGTGTAAGAGGATGAGCTGTAGTGGAGAATTTGCAGAGTCCTCTGACTCTCTCTCCCTTTGATCTGGTTTGTTATTTCCACAAACGGCCATCTGCTCTCTTGTCAGAGCAGAGAACCTTGACTGTGGCTGAGAGACCTCTTGTCTCATTTTGCAGTCAGTTTGGGTATCTGACCTGCTTAAAGATTCGTGAACACAACATCTGTCTCAAAAAGCAGCCAGTTTGAGCATTATAATTACCTAGTCATCTCAAATACTCACCATGCAGTGAAACTGTGAGACAATTTTTTAATATGCTGCATCATTGTCAGCTCCTTTTATGTATTTTCAGTTTGACAAACACAATACTAATGACAAGAAGAAGAACTAGCAGCATCTAATTGAAGGGTTTAGTTGTGTCTGCTTTACTGTCTTGTTCACTGAGGTGATAAATTCACTTCTTTGACAGTCCATCTCAGCAATGGTTGCTGTAAATTCAATATAAATCCTGTTTGACCTACGGGACAGTGCTGAAGCTTCAGATCCTGGAAGTGAAGTAAGGATGCTACTAAACTGCATAGATTTGGTGCAACCACCCTTTAAAACTGCACCAGTTCTCTTTGGTACACTTGACTACAGTTTTTCAAGGTATGGCAGGTAGGACAGATATGCCATCTGTTGCAGGACTCCTTGTTCTTCTTGTTGCTGAAAATAGTTCTTTATGACTCTGGCTGCATGTTTGGGATCATTGTAATGCTGAAAAATGAATTAAGGAACCATCAGAGCCCCTTTACATTGTGATGGTTGACGGATACGAATCAAAACATTTTCACACGACTGTAAGTTTATTTCATGATTCTTCTCTCTGCTATTGCATTTTCTTCTTTTATTCATTCATTTATTTTACAATTTTGTGCCCTTGTTTTACTCTAATATTGTGATATTAATCTTGTCAAAAAGTGCCACACAAGTAGCTCAATGTTTATGTACTTTTGGGGTAAATAGCACTTTTGTTACTGCTGTTTTGATCCTTGACTTTGAGTGAAGTGTCATTACACTGCCATTTCTAATCTGGACTGAAGGAGCTCCGGTAAGTGTGGATGATGGTGGAAAGAACAGGGTGCTTGTCCTAAAGCTGGATCCCTGCCAACTAAACTCTTTGCCTTGTTTGGGAGGTTATAGTTAGTTCCAGTTACTCTTTTATAAAAAAAAAAAAAAAACAACAACACCACCCTTTTTGTTATACTTCAACCACTATGTCTAGTCAGTTAAACTGAGTTAAAATAGGTCAGGTGAAGCAACAGAGGGACACGTAACGGTAAGCCAAGCAGACAAGCATTCAGGTGAATTGGCCAGATCCAGACTACGATGACGGTAGCAAATAGCCAGAGGAAGAGATTGCCTCTCATTTTGTGAGACAAGCCAATCTCTCCCAGGCTCAACATTGTCACAGTACTCCTCTCCCACATTCATGTATCTGTGCCTGAATTCTCAGAGTATATTATTTCAGAGAGAAAAAAAAAAAAAAAACATGATAGAAAGTGGTGCATGATTAAAGATAGATTGAGTGATATTGTAATGAAAGGGGCTTAGGGGGCATGCCATCTGCTGCTCTGATGCAGTGTTGTGTTGTAGCTTTTTATAAAGGCTATGTCTGCTTTTATTTGGTTTCTCTTCCCTCCCTCAGCCAGTGTCCAAAGGCTTGGTCTCTCAACATGTCACTTCACATCAGGGCTGCCTGCACTGCCTGGAAGCTTATACCTGCATTTACAAACACAGACACACATTTGCATACACGCACACACACACTTGCAGGCTTAGAATAAAAAAATAAAAAAATAAACAAAAAAAACTCTTGCTTATGACAAGCAAGGACCCTTGAAAGGACACCAGAGGAGAGTTGAGAGCAAAGCTACTAGATACAGAGGATCGGAGTGTCGGACAGCCGCGGCACTAGGTATGCAGTTAATGCTGTTAACCTCAAAGTTAACCCCTCCGTGACTGGGTTAATCTAGACGCTAGGAGCTCTGTTGTCACCCATCTGCCGGGCTCGAGGACAGGGAAGATCACTGATATCATAGTGCCGACAAAGACAGTGAAAACAAATCGAAAGCAGCAGAAAGAGGAGACGCATGCAAGTGGTGGAGAGGAGTGAAGGGATGGAACTGGATGCTTATAGCGGCATTTTATC